ACATGTCCGCTGACCTCGTGATTGATTTCACAGTGATCGTCGATGGTGATATCTACCCTGTAGAGATTACGAGAACCGACGAGACACAGGCCGCTGACAACGTCACGGACGATCCAGGGTTCTCAGTTGCTCCACCAATACCTGCACAAGATGTGGATGTGGATGCACAACCCGAAGAAGAGCAAAGTGCAGAAGGCCCTGATCCCAGGCATGCAATTCGTGAAGGAGTTGTCACGCAGCTTCAGGACTATGTTGGCGTACTCGCTCAGGGCGAGATGTCAGTCGGAAGCGATCGCATCACATTTTGTGTTGCTTGTGGCAGTGACCTACACACTCTGTCAAATTGCACAGAGAACGCTGCAACTCGGGACCTGGTACTTCGAAGCGTCCAGATCATCAAGGAAAGTCTTCTTCGATATCCACGTCGAGTACCTTCACAAGAGGCTGAACCAATGGACGTCGACACCACAGATCATGTGAGTGTTGCATCCTCGGACCGACGACCCAAGGCCAAAGCCCGACCGCGACGCGGAGGCGAAGCCGTACGGGGTGATGTGGTCTTGATCCGTTATGAGAACAAACACAATCTCTGCACGGATGTGGAGAACCGTCGGGGCCTACATGATGCTTGTGGCGTACCACTGCAGGAATCGGGACCAGAGAATAGCCAGCGAGTGGTGGACATCATTGAGCAGCTTTCGGACCATCGCGACCGACGCCTACCCCAACGGGGAGACCGTCCTAGCTATGTGTACGACGAGAACACTAACAGCTACACCAATCCAGGCTATGAATCCATCGGCGGCGGAAGGCCAATCCGGTGCGGAATTCTCGACCTGATCCCAACCAAGGGTGCAAGCTTCATCAACAATCGGTGGGACATCGTGAACGAAGTTGTCCTTCGCAACATCACCCGTCAGCGCAGGTTGAATGCGGATTGGGCGCTATCATGCATCCAGTCTGACTTGCGCCACAGAATCGCCAGGCGCCCAGGCTCGGAATGGCTTGACAACAGGTGCCAGGTGGCATTCAACAGTGTCATCAAATGTGATGAAGGAGGGTGGGTGCTGATCGAAGACTTGGTGAGGCATGAGCCACTATGGACCCATGAAAGCAGACGCATCACCGAAGGGGTCTCAAGGACCGATGACCAACAGAAGAAGAGAGTGTACAATGAAAGACTTCAGCTATTGTTCCAGGGGAACATGATTGCAGCCACGAAACGCAACAAGGCCAAGATTCGGTTGCAGTTCCTGGGTGTGAGAGTGAAGGACCCCGGCACGGAAGTTCTTGGATCAGCAGGTTCGAACATGTTGGTATCAGTTCGGGACCAGATCGCGGAGATCCAGAGCAACGACCATTGCCGGCATGGCCAGAGGTACCTGAACCTATGCAACGGCTGGGTGAAGCCATGGGCAGTTCGGGCTACGAGTGGTCACTCTGCGCATTCAGATCCCCAGAACAACTTGCTTCAGTTGGACAAGAACAGGTTCGCAATATCTCCATCTATGACCCTCTTGCAACGTCTTGGAGGTGCGTTCCACGCTACGGCATGCCGCAACTTGGATTCCATTGTCACGCAAGGCATCATGCCTGGTTCGGAGGACCCCGACGGGGACTTCGACCATAGGCGCCAATTCCGAGGCAACCAAGGCGGCAGACTCCACAGCTATTGGGGGGTGTTTGCGCCGTTCGATCACCGGAACGCAACGACCAAGATGCGAGTACACGGACGAGACGCCAAGCATATGCCATTGGCGGTTCTTCATGTCCCATCGCAAGATCTTGCACGAGAGGATGGACGTATCACAGACAGCGGCATCATGATCGTTGGTCGAACGATACCTTTCCATTTCGTCAAGGAGGTATGGTTTTGCGTCCCTGATCCTCGAGATACACACTCTTTCGCTCTGGTGGAAAAGATCTACGATGAAAGGTTGGAGAAAGAGCTGGTGTTGGACTACAATGCATCACCGTTGCTTCCCGAGTTCGAGAGATACCGAACGCCAAGCAAGATCATGGAATTGCTTTGCGAGATGCCTCCTGGACCCCACGACACAAGCAAGGAGCAGATCATTCGTGACCTCACGACTGTCCTGGAGTCCCACAGGGAGAACACGGTTCGGCATCACTACATGGACAAGGGAATCAAGTTTGTCATCAAGAATTGGCGACCCGAAGACCTACGCAGAGACGAGGATGGAAGGAGAATGAGGGTATGCCCGGCATGCTACAACATTGTTCCAGCATGTTTCTCCCGATGCACGTCTTGCTGGTCACAGTTCATTTCAAGCGGATATTACCAAGGTTCTCCACAACGGGATACTCCTACGGAGATCCCCAGTGACTTCATTGCTCAGACAATGGAAGCCGCAGCAGCCGCAGTGCCTGAGGCGCCCGAAGAGGAGCAGGAAGCCATGGAGGTAGAGACCGTTGCGGAACCTGAAGAAATCCCAGAACCATCTGTCGTCGCGGAAGACGATCCAGAACAGGAACCTGATGAAGAAATGGACGTTGAGCCTGAAGAGGACTTTGATGACGCAGTTCCAGAAGCAATCGCACAGGAACGTCGTCCCGTCTTCCTTACCGGCCAGTCTTTGAACATCGATCCTGAGCTACAACTTGCACGTACCGCCATGCAGCCATCCTACTATTCTGGAAAGCGAAATGCCCATTGCATTGACGCGAACATGACCGCTCTGTCGTACATGGCATACGTGGTATGCAGATCCATCTACAAAGCTTGGTCAGGATTCGCAAAGTGGGCGACTATGCCGTTGTTTCAGATGAGGGAAAGTTTCGCACTTGGCCAACGCTATGATGTGCTTGGAAAGTGGGGATCTTTGGCAGCAGTGGATAAGGAAACAGGTGTCAGCAGGGACGTGACTGATGAGGAGATCATTCGCTTTGCGAAGGAACCTGAGAACCTCAAACAGTATGATCCCAACGGGACTTACACCTTGAAGCGCTTCCGGACGAATCAGATGCTTTCTTTACTTGTACGTGGAGCCAACATGATGGGAATTGGCAGGGACAACTTCAGCCCTACTACTTACTTGAAGAGCGACAGGGATGAAGATGTAAAGGCAATGCACTTTTGCTGCCTGAACGTCCTATGCGAGGTGATCCCAATGGTGACGGGACACCAACAGTTCTCAGTGCTACGACCAACGCCAACTGGACCGGTGGACTTCTTGTACATCGACCCCGTCGGTATTCTGCTGACTCATTCTGATCAGTCAGTCCAGACCATCGCTTTGCTGGTGGACCACAGTGTACAGATGCCTGCGCATTTCATGGACAGATTGAACAGATCCAAGACTGAGAGACAGCAAAACCCGACGACAAGGCGTACGGAAGCCCTACACCACATTTCGGCCGCTGACTATCTTCCTCCAGGTGGTACTTCCATCCTGGACACGCCTGTCACTACGGAGGAACGTGAAAGCGCTTCTTCATCCAAGGGACCTTCAAAAGGGCGTGGAAGAACCGGAGGCGAGCAACATGGTGGCTGGAACACCAATTCCTACCACGACTACATCGCCGCCAAAGGCCGAAACAAAGGCAAGGACAAGGGAAAGCCAAGGAACCCATATCCAGAGGAGAACCTCCGGCCCTGGGAACGCGATCCTACGTCAACGCGAAGATGGTGGCGAGACAACGCCTGATCTTCCTCGCCTATCAGTTCGTGACCTCTGAGCTTCGCCCGTGGAATGCCATCGCGAATGCTTCTTTCTTCGGTGACGCCTGATTCGTTTGTCATTTCAGGGGATCGTTACTGACGTAGATGAGTGTCACAACGTTTCTAATTGGGATACAAAGCTCTGATTTTCAATGTCAATGTTGCGGCGGAATTTTCTTCTGTCCTATCGTGCCATCTTCCGGGTGAGCAGCGTCGGAGACGCAACTCATGGGGGGTGCGAACGGACTGCGATGCCTTGTCAAGTTCTAAGGTGTCACTATAAGAGCTGTGAGCAAGACCGTGTAAAGTGCAAGAGAAGGGGGCACGCTACGCGTCCCTCGACTCTAGGGGGCATGCTACGCATCCCTCGTCTTTACCTTTCTATGTGACCGCCAACGCAACGTTTGGCTCAAGTCAATGCCCATAGCTAAGTGCTATATGTGTCTTCTATCCTGAGCAATCAGAGCTATCCCGTTGCACAGACGAACCGCCGCCGGCAGTGAGTGCAAAAGGAACGGCCGCCGGTTCTGCCTGCATAGGATTGCACGTGTGGGAGTAAGAGGGAGAGACAGGGTCCAGTCTGTGGAGAGTGCTAGCCAGCCACACCTACATTCATTACAGCTCTGGTGGGGAGAGCAGCAACCAAGTCGAGATCAATCCCCCACGCATGTACATACACACATGCTCATGCTGTTTCCATGTTCATGCTTTTCCAATCCTTATGCACACATACATATATGCTTAATACATATGTACATACACGGGTATATACGTACATACATAAGTATCACGGAAACATGTGCAATATTTCTGAAAATATGCGAACATATGTGTATGCAACAATGAGGCATTTAGGCAGCCATGCACTCAAAGGAAAATGGAGGGCCTCAGGCTCCTATCCCAAACCCCGCATGGGCATGGTGGGTACAGGATGCGGAATTTCAAATCTGTGTGGAAGCTCGTCCCCCTTTCTGTACATATATACATTTACATATACATGTATATATATATATATATACATATGCACGTATACAAGTTCGTGAACTTTGGAAGCCCATGCAAGCGCACACACATGACTTGCATTCTTTGCGGAGTGCAGCAGGCTGCAGAGCGTCTGACCCTTTAAGTTTTCGGCTCGACTGCTCAGGGACCTGCTTACACACTCCCTGACCGTGTTGGGCGGAGCCTGGTGTCATAGCTCTCCACGTGCGGCTGAATTGATCCTTCTGTGTCTAGTCATTTTCTGGATTGGATTCTGCTGCGGTGGCCTTGTGATAGGCTTGATACTTTCAGCTCATTGCCGCCGGTGGCTCGTCAGGCTCCTGGTCTCGGTCCTGGAAGGCCAGGACCCCGAGGTGGTTCAGATCGCTCCCCAGAGGGCGGCTCGGAACCGGTTGGCTGCATACCGTGGATGAGCCGGGGCTCGTCTCCTACTGAACGTAGAGACGACGAGTATCAGGAGTGGATCGTTGTGGAAGCTGTCTCCCTTACGGAGACATCTGCTCCGCTGGAGCTTATTCCTTCTCCCGGTCCTGTGCCTTTGTATCTCATTAGGAGGTCTCGCCTTTCAACGGTGGGGATCTGGACCCCTGAGAAACGGATTGAGAGAGCCTTTGAGTGGGGTCAGCGGGACTCGGCCGCTGCTCTCAACGGGGATTTCCTTGAATCTCGGGACTCTTTTCCGTTGTCTTCCACGGTGTACGTTGTGCTGTACGACAGCAACGGGCACTGGCCTCGGGTTACCCGATCACTATCCACTTTCTATAAGATTGTCAAGGTCGCCTGCGGTAAGCGGGCTCCAGATCGTCACTCTTCGTGGCGTAGCGGAGTATACTCCCGTGGATTTGCTTCCTTGGTGGAGGCTGAAGCCTACCTGTTGGGAGGAGGATGCCAATTACCGAAAGAGGAGTGTTAAGCTTGAAGGTAGCCAATTCGGAGGGCGAGGACGTCGACCTTCTGTTGTTAAGATGGGAAGACAGCCTCTTCCTTGCGATCCCTATGCGAACCTGCCCTCAGGGAATCATCCTTGCAGTTCCCAGAAAGGCCATCTCGGAGGAGATGCTCGAGGAGGCTTTGGAAGGTCCGGCGGATGGTTTGGTCGGACCCCACATGGTGCAGACTGTGAATTCACAGGAAGACGACTCCGAGGAAGGTCATATCATATCATCGGCTGCTTGACATCTACCTCCTGGATTAACTCCTCGGTGGCAGCGGGCCCTCTTGTGAGGGAGCGAAAGATGTCTAGTTATCACTGTGGTGACAATGTGAAGAAGCAAGAACAAAAGCAAGAATCAAGCAAAGAGGTCAAAGTTGACCCTGTCAAGAAACAACTTCAAGATCCCAAGGAGGACGATGGAGAGGCCTTTGCGCCCTACACACAAGATGCCAAGATAGCTCAGAGCTACCAACAGGCCCTCGGGCTGACTGAATTCAGATTGCAAAGAAAGATGCACACTAAAAGAGTGATTAATACTCCTAGTTTTAGCTTTTCCCATACCTCGGGTTGGTTGGGTAAGCCTCTCTACTGGTTTATCTTAGTGGTGAACTTGTCGTGCGGAGTGGGATATCCACTTCGTGCAAACAGCTCTTGCGCCTTGGATGCACTAAACCACTGCCCTTCGGGCTTCCCTTTGCTCCCTGCCACGTCTTGCCATGGCTGGGAAGCGAAGTCGAGTGCGGCGCTGGCGAGCAGCTTTTGTCCCTGGGAACGTTTTCAACATGTTGTGGGCTTACCCAACTTCATTAATAAAACTCCTCAGTCGGGCCCCTGTTCCAGTTCCTTTCCTGTGGGCTTACCCATAGGGTTTTCGAAGAAGGTGCCGTCGGCCTTCGGACGGTTTCTTTCAGACCAAGCTTGCTTCACTTGCGTAAGTCATGGGAGGTCACGTTTTGGTCTTTCTTTTGTAAAGCTTCTTGCTGAGCTGGGCCTTGCCTTAGCTTTGGTTGGTGGCAAGAGGGCCGTGCGCAGTCGGACCTCAAGTTTGGTGCATAAGAGCCGGGGTAAGCGTCGTCCTCAGAGGTCGAGGCTTCGGCTCCGTATGCGCCTCAGACAGTACAAGAAAACTGTTGCGAGAAGAAAAGAACGAGCTGCTACACAGCGGAGCGCTCCGCTTAGCAGACGCGTCATCCTTAGCTGCAGATTTGCCGCTGGTGTTCGCCTTAGAGGTGCCAGGCTCAGATGTAGAATTAGGACTCGTCTTTTGCAACTTGAACGTTTGAAGTGGAAGCTTCAGGGCCGCACAGGTGGCTCGGGCCGTAAGCTGGGCTGTGAGCAGGCCCCTGAAGCACTCGACGCTGAAACACAGCTTGCGCCTTGGCCTCCTTCCGTGGTCCCGACCTCTGAGTGCAAGTGGTACACCAGGGTTTGGGAGGCCGTCTGGGTGTGGTACTCCGCGTTGTTCTTCGACCCGTTTTGTGGCACGCGAGTAGGAGAGGCCTCGCACCCAGGCCCTGGAGGTTTGGCTGCGGCCAGGAGAAAGAAAACACAACTTAAGGACACGGGCCTCAACCAGAAAGCACTGGAAGCCATCGTTCAATCGGTGCTTCTCGTGCTTGATAAACGTCAGGCTGCCAGTGACGCTGCTTGGTGGCCTCAACAGCCCCGCCGCGGGGTACGACAGTGGCAGAGTGCTCAGGCAGCACATAGCTACTGGGGCGAGTGGTCTGAGGACAGCCAAGACAGCGACTACAACTGGAAGTGGTGGGAACCAGCCTGCATCACTTCCTCCTCTTGGCAGGGTCAAGACCCTGAAACGGGATGGTGGGATCCCGAAGCTTGGACCTCTTGGTGGGCTGATCCCCACTACCAAGGTGTGAGCTACACGGACGAGGGTCTCTACGCCTCAGGTGACCAGGCCGTTGAACCGGCCACTTGGGCGTCCGCTCCCGTCTCTCAGCCTCCTCGGAGGCAGACTGGCTCCTGTGCGGGCCCTCCACCCAAGGAGGCTTCCGAAGGAGGGCCTAATAAGAAGCGCAAAGTTGACCCCCAACAGTTCCCTGAGCTCCCCAAGGTCAACGCTCCTTCGAAGAGTAGCAAGTATGCTCTCCGCATCGAACCTTCCGAATGGAACTCTGAAATCGTGCTGACTACGGTCCCTCAGATTCAAAAGGCCTTGGAAGAAGGAGCGAAACTCCCTGGCAACCTCGTTGTCAGTCGCAGTTCCACCTGCTTCGAAAGCCTTCTCAACCTTGTTGATGCTTTCGAAATCAGCGAATCTCTCTCTTTTGCTGAAGTGACTCAGGCACAGGGCTCCGGGCCCTCTGTGGCTGTCTGGTTTAGGCCCTTTAAGGACTCCCCTAAACCTGAAAGGGTTCAAGTCCGGGTCCGCCAACTCACGGCGACTCCGGGCCCCGAGCCCAAACCGCCTTTGACAGTTGCTATCAAGGTCAAACCAAAAGTCGAGATGACTACTCTGCGACTGCTTGCGCCGAGACAGTACAGACAGATCTTCCTCGGCTCTTCCACTCAGGACACACCGGTTACCGTTATCTCAGCTTGGGCTAGCATGCTGGGATGCAAGGTCAATGAGCTGACGGGAGGCACATGGGAGACGTTGCATCTTCCCAGAGGCCCATGCCTTTCAGGTCACTTGAGGGTTCCGCTGGCTCTGGGTCGCAAAGCCGCTTCGCTCAGTGGAAAGAGGGGCCTCTTTTCGATTCTCGTCTCGAAAGGTGAGATGAAAAGCCCGGTCGCCTGGATGCCGCTTGATCAGGACGTCGATGATGAGCAATACTTTCGGGTTGCTAGTGCCTCTGCTGAGGCGCAGGGATGTCCTCTCGTTTTGCGCCAGTCCAAACGTGCTGATCTTGGAGTGGTCGGAGGGCAATGCTTCCAAGGTCCCAGGCCGAGACACTACATTCTCCACGGTGCGGCCCGTGCTTGGTCGCAGGAGGACGTTGCCGAATTCTTCGAATCGGCCAACTGGACTGAAGTTGAGGTTCTTGCTCGTAGACGTAGCTGGTCAAAAAACAATACTCCCGAGTGGGTTGTCAAGGCCCTGCCTCCTGAAGGTTCCCAAGGCCCCTCGTGGTCGTACTCCGATGTCGACTCATACCTCACTATCGCTGAGGAGCCTCACCGTAAAAAGAAGCCTGTTGAGAGCGTCAAGGTCCAACCTCCCAAAAAGAAGTGGATTGACCGGCCCCCTAATAGGTCTGCTAGCATTCAACCTACGCAAATCGACCTTTCGGATGACGACGAGGAAAGCGCTTCCGAGACCTTGCGAGCTACTGGGGCTACTACGGCTAAAGCTGAGACGAGAGCTAGATCCAGATCGCCCAAGAAAGAAAAGAGTAAACCTGCCAAGCATGTTGCTGCTGCCAGGAAGTTCACACCCGATGAGACACTCCTTCAGGACCTGGGGCCGTGGCTTCTGCAGGAAGCGGGCGGAACTGGCGACTGTGGCTACCGTGCCACAGCCACTGCACTGCAAGTCAACCAAGGCAAACCGGCTTTAACTGATGAAGATCTCAAGCTTCAAGCTTCAACACTGCGGCTCCTTGCCGTCACACACATGAGTAAGCATAAAAAGAAGTTTGAGGAGAGCTTTTCCCCGGACCCTGACGAATGCCCTGATGTGTGGGGTGGTCACGAGGCTCCAGGTGATTTCGACTCCTACTTAAAACTCGCGCCCAAGCGCGAAGTGTGGATTGATGAGCTTCAGTTGAGATCTCTTGCCGAAAGACTTGGCTCACCTATAGTCGTATGGGCCTTCAATAGCAGCTGCGGCACTTGGTTGAGGTCAGTGTATGCGCCCTTCTGGGCTAATGACACTGCTCAGGCTGCCAAAAAGCAGCGACCCATCGTACTCGCCCTCAGGGATCGTCATTACCGTGCCTTGGTTCCGGCAGATCCTGCTGTCGCTGTGCCGGAGTCTTGGCTGTGGCGCACTGAGTACACGGGTACTGACAAGCTTAGAGGGGCTGGCGCTCTCTCTGAGGCTTTGTCAGTCTCCGCAAGCACCCCACGTCGTGCTCTTTCCCTCCCTGGCAGCACCCCCAAGCGTTGCCAGCCCTCGTCTCTTCCTTCGGCTACTCCTTCCTGTCCTGGGGGTTCAGGCTCTGTTTTCTCGCAGGGCTCTTCTCGAGGCCTGGTTTTAGGCCCCAAACCTGGGTGTTCTTCTTCTGAGGATCCCGTGCCTCTTCATAAGGGCGCTTCCGGCTGTAGTTCTGGTTCTGCGCGGGCTGTCCTTCAGGGTCAGAAACGCAAGGCTGCTCTTTCGCTCCCTTGTTCTACTCCTTTAAAGGCCACAAGCTTGGAGCACACTGGTGAAGACAAGAACCGGGCCAACCTTAGTGCTCTTCTTGGCCCTAATGGTCCTCCTAAACGTCTTAGGATCATCGGGAAATGCAAAGGCTTCAGATGTCTTGGCAGTGCTTGTCGTCCTTCTACGGGCCCCTCTGCCTCTAGTCACAGTGACATCGCTAACCTTAATGAACTTGAGGAAGGTGAGTCTCCCGAGTCTGACTCCCGTTTGCCCACTGCTCCGAGTACCTCGTCGGGGCCTGGAACTAGACCTATTGGTAGTGACAACCCTCCGTGGACGTGTCCTAGCTGCGACATCGTTTTGCGGGCTCCTTGTCGCGCCAAACTTAGGGAGATGGTTTGGAATCACTGGTGCGTCAAGCATGTGGGTGAAAAAATGCCTCCTAACTGCTTGTTTCGTCAAAAGCCTGAACCAGTAGTTGCCTCTGCCAATATCCCTCAGGACCAGCGAGACTGGGAATGCCCGATCTGCCGAGTTGGGCTCCCCAAACTTGATCGCAATGTCAAGACTGCGAGCATTGAACTTCATAGAAGCTCGGTTCATCCCCGCATGTCTCGCAAACGGATGTATGCCAAACGTTGGCATAATTGGAAGGAGGTGCAATACCTCAAAGAAGGACGGAGCAAGATCTCTGACAAACTCAAAGCTGCGTGCGATCGTAGTTCTTCCACCAAGGAGTTTGGGGGACATGATGTCCGCAGATTGGATGCTCCTGATCTCAGATCTGGTCGTGGCAGGTACTTGACTTGCTCCAAGTGCAGGCTTCGGGGCCATGCCATTACCACGTTCACCCGGGTTAAGTGTCTCGGCAAGCCGGTTCCTGTTACTGGGTCTAGCCGCACGTGGTGGGCCAAGCACAGGTCTTGTGATTTGAAGTCACTCCTCGCCGCCTGGAAAGTTTCGTTTGAGCAGGCAGACAGCTATTTTGGTTATGTTGACTGCGAGGGCCGCTTGCCCAATGCACCGATCTTGTCTAAGGAGCAGGCTAAGGGGCACGTCCTCTGCTACGTCGATCTCGGGGAGCATGCTGAATCCTCTAAATCCACTAAGGTCCTCAGCTGCCTTCGGTGTCGCTTCATCCGGCATAACCTCAGCAGGCTCATCGAGTGCAGAGGACCTTCTGAGGCCCCTCACCCCCTGCAGTGCCGTTTCTGGCACGAAAGGACCTCGCCTGTCAAGAAAATCATGTGCAGGGCCTGGAACTGCACTGTTCGAGATGCTAATCGGTTTTTCAAGGCCCCTAAACCTGACACTAAGGCTCAGAGCACCGCTAGCCTGCGCTCTTGCAGGATTGGTGAGGCCAGTAACCCTGGTCCTTCGTCCGTTGGCCTAGGGAAAGTCTCTAATTTCTCTCGGACTCGTCCAGTGTTTGCTCCTAAGGGCCGCGCTGGGTCTCTCAAGGTTTGTCGTGTCACTCAGACTGTTACCAAGGCTCAGCTTACCGCTGCCTACAACGGGGTCCGATTTGAGGCCTCCCACCCAGGACCCACTCAGGCTTCACCCTCTGGTCAGGGTGATAACGTCGTCGTCACTGAGGAGCCAATCCGACCCTTGTCTGCAAAAGTGGTCTCGTGCAACGTAGGGGGCACCTCTGGTGCCTACGCAGCTGTCAAAGAGTGGCTTTCTACTGACGTTCACGACGTTGTTCTGCTGCAGGAGCTTTGCATGTCTGATGCGCAATGGAGTACTTTTCAGCGTAAGGCACAACGTTGGGGTTTCCAAGCTTACTACCAGAAAGGGGGCGCCAGTCGTGATGGGTGGGGCAACCCCACTGTCCGTGGTGGCGTTGCCGTGTTCGCGTCTAAGCGCCTGTCTCAGCGGCTGGTGTTCAGCGATGCTCGCCAGCACTCTCAGCTCTTGATTGTCGCCGTCGGTGGGGTCCACTTCGGGAGCATGTACGCCCCCCCAGGGTACGAAGGCTTGCCTCAAGACGAGCTCTGCGAGCTTCTCACCCTCTACAATAGGACTGATCTTGCGGCCGCGGCTCAAAGGTGGGTCATCGGTGGTGATCTTAACGAAGAGTTTTCTGATTCCGCGATCATTGATCACGCCGGGCTTTTTGGGGCTCAGGCCCTTAGGCTCGGTCGTTCCACTCGTTGGGATAGCAATCGTGAAATCGATTTTTTCCTCGTCAATCGGCCTGCCGAGGTTCAAGCTTTGCGTGCGGGTCAAATTCGTGTTTCTGACCACGTGTCGTTGCACACCAGCATCCAGCTGCGGTGTCGCGAGTCTCGCAGAGGCATGCTCCGCACTACGCCTGACTTTTCCAAACCTTCTGGGGTCACTGCCAAACGGTGGAGACAGCTTCTTGATGAGGCCTGGCAGGCCAATCCTGAGGTCCCCAGCTTCCTCTCTAGTCTTTCGGGGCCTGTCCACCCTGACGAAGAGTGGTGGTCCTTTCAGGGCCTTTTGCAGGCTGCTTTTCTCGAGGCCCTGCGAAGGGCTAAGCAGGAGGCTACTGCTGACAGCGCAAATGACCTTGACCTGCGACTGCGAACCGCTAAGGGCCACAAAGGGCGGCCCGGCCAGCACTTGTGGCTGCAATGGTCAAGCCGTGGCCCTGAGCTTGACACAGCCTCCTTTCAGCTTCGAAAGAAGCGCAAAGCCCTCGCTAGAGCCTGCGAGCTCTCCAGGCTTCGTCGGTCTGGCTTGCCTCAGGAGGACCCTCAGGTCGTTAAGCTGCTTCGTCGTTTACCCATTCAGAAAGCTGACTTGGGCACCTTGGAGCTGTTCATACGTAATACTTCTAGTGAGGTTCAGAAGCAAACGCTTGAAGAGAAACGAGCTGCTATCTCTCGCTGGAAACGCAACCTGATCGAGGACCCCAAGGCCCTTGGCAAGTGGCTTCGTTCTAAAGAGGACCCTGCCCCTGCTAGTCTTGTCAACGAACGCGAAGTCGTTGCTGAGTCGTTGGAACAAGGGGCCACGTTTGTCCGAACTTACTGGGAGAGTTTCTGGCAAAAGCACTCCGCTCACAAGCCTTCTGAGGACGAAGTGTATGCTGTGCTCCGTCAGGGCCTGCCCCAGTGTAGACCTGTCGACATACCTCCCCCCTCCGCTCAGGAGTTGCTCAGGCATGCTCGGGCCCAAAAAGGCTCTTGCGGGCCCGATGGTTGGACTGGTTCCGAACTTGCTCACTTGAGCATTCACATGCTTGATGCCTTTCGCAGGGTTGCTATGAGGTGGCATCAGGCCTCTAAGATCCCTGAGGCTTTGCATCACATCAGAATGGTTAGTCTCCCTAAACCTGGTAAAGCTTTCGAAGGGAAGCTCAAGGTTTCTGACACTCGTCCCATTAGTGTTCTCAACACCTTCTGGAGATTGTGGATCACTACTTGGACGAAATCTGATGGCATGAAAACTTGGGTTTCACTGAACCTCCCGCCTGAGATCCGCGCTAGGGCCGGCCAAGCTGTTCCCGCGGTTGCTTCTTCCATCCTCGAAGAGTTTCATACTCAAGGGCTTCTTTTGAGTTTGGATTGGTCTAAATGTTTTGATACGCTGTCCCCTGTTGCTACCACACGTATCATGCAGGACTTCGGCCTTCCCAAGGGGTTGGCAGACATATGCTGTGACCTTTGGACCCATCAGGTTCGCTGGATCTCGTGGTCTGGCACCTGTTGTGAGCAGCCGCTACACACTAAGGTTGGAGTCCCCCAGGGCGACCCGCTTGGACCTCTCGTCACTGCCCTTTGGGCCACTTGTGGGTCTAACCTCGTCAAACAACGGCTCCCTGAGCATGTCCGTGGCGATGCTAAAACCTCTGTCTTTGTCGACGACCGTACTGTTGTTGCTTCCAAGCCCGAAACCATAGTCGCCTCCAAGAGAGAATGGTTCCGTTGGAGTAGCCAAGTTGGTCTAGTTGAAAACGAAAGGAAAGTAGTTGTCGCGGCCGCCACTGCGGCAAAAACCAGGGTTGCCGAAGACTTCGGCCTTGCTGAGTTCGTCAAGCCTTACGCTAAGGTGCTGGGGGTCTGCACGGCCGCTAAGAGCAGAACCTCTACTGAGGAAGAAAAGGAGCGCCTGGGCAAGACCTTGCGCACGCTGCGCTTGCTGGCTACTGCTCAGCTGCCTTTTAGGCAGTACCACGCTGCGGTTGCCACCTATGCTATGCCCAAGGCTAGCTATGGATGGTTCGGTCGCCGTCCTACTCAGGCTGAGACTTGGAAGCTGTGGGCCCAAGTACGCCGAGGTGACGGCGTATGTCGCTTGGCCAACAAGTTCATTCGCGGTATTCTCCTCGGTGGGTGCTCGCACCTTGAGCTCCTTGCTACTCGGCACTTGTTGTCTGCAGTCACGGCCTCGGATGACCGAAGTGTGCAGAGATGGAATGGGCCTCGTGGACACCCGGTTCACACCTTGCGGGGCTCTTTGCTTGATCAGGGCTGGTCTGTCACTAGGCCTTGGGTGCTTGTGCACAGCTCCGGCCACCGCCTTGATCTCAGAATCGGACGGCTGCCCCACGCTAAGACTGCTCATGTTTTGCGTGAGGGTTGGAGGGCTCATCTCTTCGGCCGCTTTCTTCAGTCTGACAGACATGAGACTTCTGAGTGGCATACTCTGCCAGATTGGAGGCCTCTTTTCCGTAAGGTCGCTCTTGAGCCCACTCGTAAGTGGTTGTTTTCTGAGCCTGCTGCTCGTACAGTCGCCCTGCTTGCTGCTGCCAGTCCTGCTTGGAATGTCCCAGGGTCTTCGGACCGCTGTATATGGGGATGTGGTGCTCTTGGTAGTTGGGATCACATCTGCTGGCAATGCCCTCTGAGGCCTTGCTCCATTTGCAAACCCAGTTCTCCGTTTCTGTCGAGACTGGGGTGGACTGTTGACTCAGGACATGCTTCTCGCCGTGCTCAGGTTTGGCTCGTGCAGGTCGTCAAAGCCATCTGGGCTGACCGGCACGATGGCAGTGCTGTCTAGCACCATCTAAGGTCGGGTGCGCTGCGCTCTTGCTCTTGATCGCGGCGTTCTCCGGCCTCTCCTTCGGTGTCGTCGGTTGGCGGCGTTCACCTTCAAGCTACTACTACTAAGGTCATATCATCGAGGTTGTGATCGTGGAGTTTGCCATGGGGGTGCGGTCACAATTGGAACGGAAGGCGCCAAGAACCCGAAAGTCCTATGTGGGTTTCACGGCGGATCCTTCAGTATTGCCGAGCTTTCAGGAGCTGGATTCCTTGGTGGCCAGTTGGATCGAGACGGGCGAAGCTCGACTGGAGGAGTACTTCACTGCAGCGGAGGCGGAAGCGGAGCATCCGCGCGGTGGGGACCAGAGGGCCATCCTGGAACAGCTCAGGGTCATGCAAGAGCAGATGGATGCGAGGTTCAAGGCTCTAGAGGGTCGTGCCGGAGGTTCGGGAAATCAGGGTCGTACTTCAGGAACTCCTGGTCATCAGCCTGCCGTGCCTACCAGGAGAGGGTTAGGCGTCGGGAACGACAGGCAGGAGCCGGCCAGGGCGCGGGCTCGGGAGTTAGTGGACTCCGTCCAAGATCAGGTGGGACGCCCGCCTCCGCGATTGTCGGACGAGCCGGGTCGAGGTCGAGACACAGCTCGGGAGCCGCTGGTGAAGGCCGTCCTCGAGGACTTGGATCCGGAGCAGGCGTCCATGGACGACCTGCTCAAGTTGGCTTTGGTCAAGATGGTCACGGGCGGCCGGTCAAGGAAATCGAAAAGGCTGCCGGGACTTCCGAACCTGGGGGATTCCTCGGACTCGGACAAGGGCGACCGGGACACCGCCTGGTCTTCTTCGAGCCGGGGAGGCCGGGGCATAGAAGCGGTGGAGCGCCTCAACCATGCGATGCGAAACCACCCCGAGGCTTATCAGGAGAGGATGGAGGCCAGGATGCTCAAGGCAGTGGATGCTGCAGAGATGTCCCCGACGGCGCCGCTTCAATTCGCAAGATCTTGCCCGGTGGGCAAGTCGAGGACAGCTGGGTATTGCCTCCAGGGCTTCGCCAATGTCCACAAACTTCTCCTGGAAAACAAGCCTCGTCAGGCTCGACTCCAGGTGTTGAGGATGATGTCGGCCCTCGAGCAGTTCCTGATCGACGAGAATTGGCAGGTTGCGTCCCGTCTCACGGGGATGGAAGAGCCTCCTTGGGGTCATTGGGCGACGCAGGATCTGGGAGCATTGAGGCGGCAGTATGTGTACAGCCGTCTCTCGGAAAGCACCTGGATTGGCGCGCTTATCAACGAGTTGAAGGAGGAGGAGTGGCTCCAGAAAAAGAAGTTCGTCGCTCCAACACCGAAGGCGAAGGCGAAAGGGAGCGGAAAGGACAGTGCCGACCAAGAAAACACAGTGTACTGAAGCATTCGGGCCCTGGACCTGCGATTTCTGACGATGCCTCACCAGACGTCCTTGGTTTCTTGGAAGGTTGGTGTGGATACTTGGAAGTTGCGGATCTGCCGCTTGCCCGTTATTTTAGAAGTACTTTTTACTTGCCCGAACAGGCCTCAAACGCTCCGGGTAAATCGAATGAGATTTTCCCGTGTCCGCCTCCTTACCCTTGGGTCGTGCAGAAACCTGCTGGCTTGAGGAGGTCCCGCAGGCGTTGCGCTAGATGGAGAGTCCGTAGAGCTTGTGAGTTGTGGGTCAACTTTATGGTTTGTGCCCTTAGTCATGAGGCTCTTGGTCTTGAGAGCGCACCGGTGCGAGGGAGAAGAGGGGTCCCGCTGACTACCGAACAGCAGGGTGTAGTTAGCTTTTTGGGGTCCCTGGCTAGTTCAGTTGTTCGCCTGGGGTCTGATGGCTCTGGATGCGGCCTGAGATTGCCGGCTACGGCCGGTCGGTTGGACCGATTGAGGTCCGAATTAAATGCCTGTGATGAGCTACCGTATGCTTGTGGGCGTCGGGTGTTCCGTACGCGAACCGGCAACTTTACAGCCACGCAAGCCCTGCCTGTAGTGGCCGAGCGTCTTAGTTTACCCGAAGAGGTTCGTAACTTTGACCCCCGGCCTTATCTTTCACCAGTTTTTCGTAAGATTTATGAGGACCCTGATGCTTATTTGAAGCCCGAATCTGAGATGCCCGAGCCTGTGAGGTGTAAGGGCACAGCTACTCGAAAGGAGCTCTTGAAGGTACTTGAGCGCTGGGATAGGCTGGGGAGGTTGTTCATCTGTGCTGGTTCCGAGGTTAGGAGGGAGGATAAGTGCGAGATTTTTGCGGTGGCTAAGGACTTGGATAAGGATAGGCAAATCCTGCACCGTAAGCGTCGTAACCTGCGTGAACAGCACATTCCGGGCGCTTCTCAGGACCTCCCACACGGGGTTCAGCTGTGCCAGCTCCCATTGGAGGATGATCATGTCTGCGTTTGTTCTGTTGATGATGTTAAGGATTTTTATCACGCTTATGAGGCGTCGGAAGCGCGGGCTAGGAGTTCTCCGGTGGGCCCTTTATTTTGGGCCAAAGAGGTGGCCCATTTGTCGGCATTCCGTGAAGCTCGGAAGGCAGGCCGAATCCCGGAAGGGGAGCCGGTCGCCTGCTGCTTTAAAGGGCTCGGAATGGGGGACCATGCAGCCGTTGACATCGCCCAGGAAAGTCATGTTAATCTCTTACGTGCTTTCGGGTCTATGCGGGATGAAGAGACTTTGCGGTATAGGGAGCCGGTGCCGTATCCTAGGAGTGGCTATGTGGAAGGGATTATGATTGACGACCACTTAGGTGTGCAACTCCTCAGGAAGCTTCCATCCTTGAAGGCTACCTTGGCACAACCGGGCCGGGATCAGGAATCATTCGCAGCTTCGGAATTGGCATATGCTCATGCTCAGCTGACTGCTCATCCGAAGAAGATGGTTCGACGAGCTTTGCACGCAAAGGCCTGGGGGGCAGAGGTCGAGGGTGGCAGAGCTTTGGTGGGGCCGGTGAGAGGTCGATTGATCGCGCTTTCGAGGTTGACGATGGAGGCTGTCAAACCAGGTGCCATGGATGAGAACATCCTGGAGGGCATCCTCGGGCTATGGGGATTCTGCTTGCAGTTCAGGCGTCCAATGTATAGTTTCATGCATGCTGTCTTTCAGGAACATTGTCCTGACGACGAGGGGGTCTTTAGACTCTCTAAAGCAGCTCGTAATGAGCTTGCGGTCCTGGCTTGCACCTCCCCTCTTTGTGTGAATGATGTTAGCGCGATTCCTGATGATAACTTGTATTGTGTTGATGCTTCGCCGTCAGGGGCTGGGGTTTGCTTTGTTCGGGTTGGTAGAAACGTTTCTCGTGAACTGTGGAGGCGGGGGTATAAGCTGGGATATAACATTCCCATGGTGTCTCAGCTGGCCTCCACGCTGCAAGGAAGCGGCGTGGATAAGGACGTAGTTGAGACCTTCGTTGAGGGCTCGGATGCCGAAGAGGCTGAAGGCCCGTTGAGGGGTGAGTGTTTGGCGCAGGGGGATTCGTCCGCTGCGGTGCATGCTGAGGGCCTTTTGAAAGCCTTTGATCGGGACAGCTGGAGGCCGTCCTTAGCCCCCCACGTCGGTGAGGGCTCTTTTGACTTCCTTGAAGTGTACTCGGGAAGCAGCATTCTCAGCCACGCATGGTGCGAACATGGCTTTCGTGTCCTTCCGCCTGTTGATTTGCAGCGGGGTTGGGACATGAGGGATCAGGGCGTGTTCTGGGGATTGCTTGGGCTTGTGCGCTCTGGGAGGGTGAAATTCCTGTGGTGGTCTCCTCCTGGCGCCACCTTTTCGGTAACGAGCAACCCGAAGCTTCGTAGCCTTCAGAAGTCGTGGGGCTTCGAGGTTTTGGGTGAGAAGACTTTGTTGGGAAACCTGCATGCGGCTCAGGCGTTGCTGCTTGCAATCACTCAGCTCAGTGTGGGACTTGCTTTTGCTGGCGAACAGCCGGCTTTCGGATTAATGCGAGCCCTTAGCGGTTGGGATTTCCTGAAAGAACATGGGTCATTTGAGGTTATATTCGATTGGTGTAGGTTTGGTCAGCCGTTCAAGAAGCGCACTCGACTGGTGAGCAACTTTGCGCCTCTTGCGAGCTTGAACAAGTGTTGTCATCATCGTCATCGCCATTCGAGGCTGGAAGGGCCCACTGCCATTTCCACGAATGCTTACAGCCCTAGCTTCTGCAAGTCAGTTGCCCGGGTTTGCAAGGACGCGTGGGATTCATTTGACACGCAGATAACCTCGCAGAGTCCTGATCCTGATAGGCCGTTGCGGGTTAGACATAATCATTCGACTCATCTTGATTCGTCACATAATCCGGATGCTCATCGTGATTCGTCCCTTCCCTCGCCTACGCAATTGCTTGAAAGGCAGGAAAGGCTTGCTTGCGGCCGTAGGAATAAGAGCTCGGCTCTTTGGGCGGTCCAACTTTCTGAAGGTCTGGAGTGGCGTACTTTCATGCAGTATCGTTTTCAACATGTTGAACATATCAACTTGCAAGAAGCTAAAGCCCGGCGGTCGTTGATGAAGAGGCTTCCTACGGGGCGTAGGGTTGTGGTTTTTCAAGATAGCCGGGTTAATTTGGGCGCGTTGGGTAAAGGCCGATCGCCATCACAAAGTCTCAATCGGATCATGCGGGCCGAGGCGCCTTGGATTCTTGCCAAAAATTTGTATTTGGCGGGGGCCCACCTGCCAACTTGGTCCATTAGAGCCGACTATCCGAGCCGTTTTCGGCCCACCTTGGGGCCTCGACTTGCCTTGCCGCCATGGTTTTGGAAGCTGAGGCGGGGTGAGCCCGACGTGGGAGCCACACTGAATGGCTTGCAAAGTCAACCGAGGGCGCTCAACCGTTGGTTGCTGTTTGGTGGTCATATGCTGCTGCGTGTGTCCAGCCTGGGCCCCTCGACCGGCACTTACGACACGGGCGCGAGACCGAGAGCAACTGGTCCGCGGAAGAGTCACCGATGTGACCCACAAGATCCGTGTCAACCTGCTGGACCAGCTGTGCGATTGGCTTCATCCTCAGGTGCCGGGTTTTTCCTTGGACCAGTTGGCCAGGCAGCACGTCGACGTTTTGTCCGAATGGCTAGAAGAATATATGATTTTCATGTTTCTCAATCATCGTTCGCGCCGAGCTGCGGCAGAAACACTGAACGCTGTGACACAACAGTTTGGATGGCTGAGATCCTCGCTTGCAGGGCCTTGGAACCTCATCCGAACGTGGGAGCAGCTGGAGCCGGTGCAGCATCACCCGCCGATGCCTGCAATGGTACTCCATGCTCTTGCGGTTACTGCTCTGCAATGGGGATGGCCGAGGATGGCAGTGGCTTTGGTCTTGGGCTTTTATGCTTTGTTGAGGCCTGCCGAAATTATTGGGCTGCGACGGCAAGACTTAGCTTTGCCAGACGACCACTTCGACCAGAACGTGCTTTACATCCGCATCGGCAATCCGAAGACACGTCACAGAGCAGCTTCGCAACAACACATCCGGGTGGATCACCCCGGTGTGGCACAATGGGTAGCCGACGCAATCGGCTCGACGCCGCCGTGGAGGCGGATCTGGAATGGTTCTTGGGCGGCCTTCAAGCTTCGCTTCGGAGCTCTTCAACAAGTTGTGCTGACTAAGGTGACCTTTCTGCCGTCTTCTCTAAGGCCGGGAGGTGCTACTTTCTTTTTCAGGCTCTGGGATGAAAATTTGCAGCGACTACAGTGGCGTGGTCGTTGGAAAAGCTTCCGCATGCTTGAGACATATGTTCAGGAACTGGGAGCCACTGAAGTGATGGTTCGCTTTTCTCAAAAGGTTCGGCACCGGGTCTCTTCTTTGGGTTTGGTTTTTCAGGAAGTCTTGGCTGCATGGCACCGCTTGGGGTAGGCCGCCGCGTTTGCTACCGTTGGGCCCTCCCGCCCGCCCGTGAAGGGTAGAGTGGGAACAGTGAGTGGGACTCTTTAAAAGTCCTTCGGCCTGTGAGTTCAAACGAGGACTCATACGGCCTGAGCGGCTTCGCCGCACTCTCCGCCCTTTCTTTTGAGGTTGAGCAAGCTGGGCAAGCGCGCAAGCAAAAGACGGTCAGATGCACGGTGCTTGTGAAAGCAGCAGCTTCGGAGCCCCGCCAAGAATGACTTGCATTCTTTGCGGAGTGCAGCAGGCTGCAGAGCGTCTGACCCTTTAAGTTTTCGGCCACCACCGCCCCTCCGCCACAGTGAGTGGGACTCTTTAAAAGTCCTTCGGCCTGTGAGTTCAAACGAGGACTCATACGGCCTGAGCGGCTTCGCCGCACTCTCCGCCCTTTCTTTTGAGGTTGAGCAAGCTGGGCAAGCGCGCAAGCAAAAGACGGTCAGATGCACGGTGCTTGTGAAAGCAGCAGCTTCGGAGCCCCGCCAAGAATGTATATGCATATATCTATATATATATATATGCATATATACATAGGTTTTTTGTGATATACATGCAAGTAGCTGGGTATGTAACCGCAAGGCCACTCTGCAGTTGCACACACGATGTAAATTGGAACCTTGCAAGCATATTATGGGTGGATGACACATTATGTATACATACACACACACATATAACTTTGTGTGCATCACGGAAATGGGTAATTATCTTTGGGATTTACATGGAAGTAGGTGGATGATGGCGAACAACAGGTCTTCAATAGAATAACTGATTAACATGCCCTAGTACACCGTAAGCTAATCCTGAAAAGGTGTGGCCCACCCAGCCAGAAATGCAAATCACAGTAGGGGATGCTGGGAGACCACCAGAATAAAAACCAGAGTCTGAGCACTTTAGTAAATATCACGGGTTACACTTATCCACGAAAGATATATAGTGTGTAGCGAACCTAAGTACCGAAAAGGATGACGTGTGTCCAGAGCATCCAAACTCTACTGGAAGACATTCGGCTGAAACGCAATGCCGCACATGGATGTAATGAGCCAAACCCCCGTAGAAGTTCGATGAGTGGCGGAACCACAACTGGATCCTCAAATCGATGACTGTTTTCCAAAATACAGGCAGACTAAAAGATGTTGCAGTCTCAACAAAAGGCTTCAATAGTAGATGATGGGTAGCAAACCCAAAAACTCTTTCAAAGGTGGCAAACCCCTCAGAACTTTATAAGTGTAGGAGTGTAGACATTCCTTTCGCCACGGCTTCAGATGCGGTTGTACACATCGATGACGGTCTGCCTGTCAATATAGTCTTTTAGCATTTATGCTGCGGCCCACGCCACGATTTCATTCCCTAGTTGAAGACATGATATAAACAATAAGTTACAGGTCAACATTCGTATGCACATGTAAATATACACATTTCCATAAACACGTATCCATTAAAGTCAGATGCATATGCGGATAGACACCCAGGGGTTGTGATGGATTCTTAATGATTTTGACATGATATGCCAGATTACGCACCTCAACTTCAATGGAGATGCTGGATGGCAAACCTCCTCCCTCTTCCCCAACAAACTCCTACTTCGTGACATGCCCAAGACTCAAAATCAAGGGTGCAATGCCTGGATGAGGCAACACAACGCTTAAAATTCTGGGTGCGAAAACTCGTGTGAAAACCTCTAAACTACCGAGAAATACACGCCACCAGGGCGTTGCACTCTCAAAAGAAGACACAAGTGAACCCAAACAAAAGACAGAAGTGATCGGGCACCCGATGTGTCTATGGTGTCTTCGAGTCGGAGCAATGCCGTGAGGAAGCCCTGATGCCGATCCGAGACAGCCTGCAAGTGCCTAGCAATGAAGCCTGGCCCGCCAAAAGGGGGTACCGAGAAGCACAAGACCTCGCAAGGACGGGTCCAGGGACGGGTCGCCGAACCAAAAACGGGCGTCTGGCGAGAACTCAGAGAGACCCTCCGGAGCAAGGCCAGCTCCATTCCAGATGGCGGTTTTGGCAACGTTGAGGCGCAAGTGGGTATGCTGGGCGAGGTGATGCTCAAAACGACGGACCAAATGCAACACACGCTGGGGCGAGGCAAGGATGGTGACATCATCGAGGTAGGCCAGCACACACTCCCCGAGGTCCGCACGGAGCTCACATTGCAGGTCGCGGAGCGCCGTTTTTTTTTGTGCGCCTCATGCACACTCCCGCCTTCGGACCTACGGCGGGCTCGCAGCATAGTGGCCAGCATGGATGGACGCATCCGCTCCCGCCTCCCGCAGCCTGCAGGCCATTGCCAGGAGGCGTTGGAGTAAAGCAACAGCGGTCATCCCGCCTCCTGTTTATCAGAGGCAGAGAGCAACAGCGGCGGGCTAGTTGCCCCACGTGGCGCGCTGCCCATGCGGCGCTCGCCCACCATACTCAAGCGGCCGGGGAGACTAGCCGGCAGAAGGGCAGCAGAAGCAGCAGAGGAGGCAGAAGCAGGGGAGGAGGAAGAGGACCAAAGGAGGCAGCAGCAACGGCACAAACTGCCCCGTTGGCACGGGGCGCAGCGCCGCGGTATGCGCCAACCACCGCTGGGGGACAACTTGCCCTTGGACTGACCTTCTGCAGCAAACAACAGACGCGGCAACTCACCAGCTTTCCACAGGCCCGCCATTTCGCGTCCCATCCAAGCACCTCGAGGCACGCGCAGCGGGCCACTTCTTTGGTACACATCGGTGAAGTTTCGGCCGCAGGTCGTGCACCCATTGCCCAGCCACTCGCTTTTGGAACGGATGACACGCTCGCCGAGCTCCGCGATCCGCAGCGCCGCCCCCGCCCCATACGCGCCACTAGCACCGGATGTTGTCGGCTTCCAGCCCGCCGAGCCGTATATCCTTTTCCGCTGCCGTACTTTGTCGCGTGCCTGCGGTCAGCTCGCCGGCGGGGCCGCCGCAGGGCCTTCCGGAGCAACAAATGAACACCTTTGCATACTGCGATACGCACCTGCTGCATCGTGCTGCCACCCGCCTTGCGCAAGCAGATGTCCCGTCTGCTGCCTTGGCCTCGCTGCGGGTCGGCCGACTCGTCGCTGCGCAGAAGCCGGGGCGTCCGCGCCCTTGTGGTTGGTGTCGGTGTGCTCCACCGCTTGGTTGGCCGCACACTTGCCCAAGCCTTTGCGCAGCCTTTCCAACATGCCTGCCTTCCGCACCAGTTCGGGCTCAGCACGCGGGCTGGGACCGAGGCGTTGACGCGCGTCCTGCGCGCCGCCGTCGAAATCGAACCACGAGCCACGATCCTTTCCGTTGATGCCGTTGGCGCTTTTGACCGTGTGTCCCGGCAGGCGATGCTCGGTGCTTTGTTCCACCACCCTGAGCTGCACCCGCTGCTGCCGTATGCTCGTCGAGTCTACGGGAGCCCCAGCAATTATTGCTGGGTCGATGCAGGTTGCAAGGTCGGCATCAACACGCGATCGCGACGGCAAAGGTTTCGTGTGCACGTCGCATGATGCTGCCAGCCGCCGCATGCTGCCGCCTGCTTTGTTCCGCCTCCTGCTTTGCTGCTTGTGCTTCTTTTCTGTTTGCCACTGCTTCTGCTGCTGTTCCTCCATTATTATGGGAGGCGTTAGAGCTCGAGGGGGTGGGTGACTGGTGGGTCTAAACGATATTGGCAATACTACTGTTTCGCGGTGCGGTGCTAACGTCCTCGCTGCTCGTCCCACCCCCCGCATTGGGGTGGATTTGTTTTGGTTTACACCGTTTTTTGCCTTTTCGAAAAGGAGGTCTTTCGGCTCGTACCTGAGCGACTGCAACTATTTGGTCTTACTGTGTTAAGAGTACAAAGCGGACATGGTAATACCGGTTTTGCCGGCGTTAACTGGGGAACGAGATAGGGTCCGCAGTTATAACGAGATGGTTAACACAGTACATGCGGTACATATTCATAGTTACCCAAAGATATCAATGATAATTATGTGCTTGCTTACATGGATTTATTAATAGACATACATGTGTGCAAATTATGTTTATGTATACATACAACTGTACAAATTGTTTCTTCTTTCTCTTTCTGTTCCTTTCTGTTTTCTTTCCCTTCCATACAGAAAGATGGCAGTCGTTTTCCCCTTTTCGCCTTCATGTCCTTCAACGTCAAGTCTTCCCTTACCTGCAGGGTGCATCGACCAAGGTTCGATGCTTCTTCCGGATTCCTCGCACGGCGATGCCATACAGCAACTTCCCAACTTCGTGCGTCCATGTCTTTGTGAACGGTGGCTTGCATCCTTCCAGTTCCTCTCCTTCGCGCATGTTGGCGCGTTTCTGGCCAATCCTCCTCGTAGATCCGCTCAGTCCATCTTTTCCGGGAGTCTCCTCTGGCGGTTGCTTCTTTCCTTTTCCAGGCTTCGGCATACCTGATTGCACACCTGGGCCGGCTCCCATGCCGGCAAGAGCTCCGCACGGCATGCCGGTGCCGCCTGGTAGTGTTTGGCATCGAAGTTGGGGGCTTCTGGGCACCTGAAGCCGCAAGCTTCCTTCGTTTGCCTCTGCGCCCGCTGCATGGCGCTGCGAGTGCGCCTGCCATCCTTATAGGCCCGCTGCCCGCCAGCCGCCTCTTTGCTGCACCTCCCTCTCGCCAGAGTGTAGTCAGTTCAGTGGTGGAGGGCAGAGCCTGCTTTGCAGAACTGTGCGGCTGGCGCCGCTCGTAGCGACAATAGCCGACCGACCTGACCACTTTTTCGCAGACGGAAAAAAGTGCGAAAAAGAAATCTTTTAGCAGACGCGCGCTGGCACGAAGCACCAGTGCACAGTCGCATGCCTAGCCGTGTTGCGTGAACTATGCTGTAGGACGTATGTGCAGGGGGCCCAGGCGCTTTGAGACGGTTGCAATTGTAAAGGACGCGCATCCTTACTGCGAGCCCTTATCTCGTTCCCCGATTCCAGATGCATGTCATATCTCGTTCGAGCACATGCGACTAGCAGTAGTAGCAGTCGTCGTCGTGGTGGTGGTGGTCGTCGCCGTCGTACGAGTAGAGGAGGTTCGGTCCCAGTGCAGACTAAGTGCAACCGCTACTGGCCTAACTTGTTAGCACGTTTCCGCGAGGAGCTCGTGCAGCTCAGGCCCCGCCCAGATCGGCGGCCGGAGGCAACTCGAGCAAGGAAGCAGCGAAAGCTCCGATCCGACACTCGGAACCGGAAAGCGGCCATGCCGCTCCCCGTCACGTCCGACTGGGCGGAGCCCATTGCAGACA